AGAGGTAGTTAACGAATTACTAAAGACACTAATTTGTGCAATTACACTCATAGAATTAACGACACTTCCGCTTGGCATGCTCGTTGAAAGAGAGTTCCTTCGGGAAAGAATGAACATTTTAACGATTTGGGACTTGCGCGTTCCAGCACGAAAAGAATCCGGAAGATGGCGATCGTTACACTTAAACTCTAATTATGCCATCTTAGATTTTACGGGGGTTCTCCGGCAAGTGATAATACCGTGAACAGTAATAATAGTTCTGTCAATTTGTACTTTACAAAAGGTCCGGTAGGAGATTTTATTTTTCCGACTTGTTTAAATGGTAAAGAGAGAAAAATCCAAGTTTGCCAATGCGACTAACGTCGGGAGAAATTTCTGTGGTCAAAAATCTGAAAAAATGTCTAACTTTTTCGGTTTTTCTAAAATAGCTAACCAACTGCAATACTTAGGTAAAATCATGTTTTTTTCAAAAATGTAGTGTATAAAAGTACCTTTAATTTGATATTTTATTTGCCCCGTTAACCTGTATAGTTTGTAATATAATAATTTAAAAAACGGAATAACAAATTCTGCTTTTATCACATTAATGTACGAGTTTTGTAATCAAAATTACGTGTGCCACATGGCACCTTTTTACTTCTCTACGATTTTTGTCTCCTCTCCTTTGGTCGGTCATGCGCCACCTTGTTTCTCCATATGTAGCAATGTGGTAATTGGTATTCATGATGAATTGCTTATATATATTTCTGGTATAATTTAGAACCGCTATCATAGTCACAACTTCTCGTCTCGAAGACGCGTTGTTTAAATTATCTAGTATAATTCGCCATATTGGCGGATCCTATACTTCACCTGCATCAACTAAATCGTTTATCCGCAATACCCTGTTCAAGCCGCAATAGGAAGGCAAAGTATTTATACCACCGTACAGGGGCTCTGTGATGGGCAAGCTTGAATCCACCTGTGTGTTAATCCATCCCATTCCACTGTTATTTTGAGTCGTCAAATCATCCCACCTAGCTGCATTCGGGTGTCTTCTCAATTCCACTATCAACGGTCTCGCCTGATCTGCATTCGTATATCCTATCGATTTAGACATGTCTCCTATCACACAGTCGGTTTCCACTGCGGAATTCACACTTATATTTTGATATCCCGGGGTAGTCGAAAACAACCTCTTCGCAAATAAACCTATTAGACCTTTCAAAAACATGTTTGTACTACTGTCGTTATCCACATCGATCATTACATTACATTACATACAAGATGCACGCAGGTAGTCAGATTCAGATGGTTGACCCAGACTGTCTGGGCTCCGAGCAGTCGACAGACGTGTCATAATGGAAGCAGGTTGAATACAAATTCGTGTAAAATGGAGCTATCAGGAGAGCAGAATTCAGCTTTGTTGCTCTTTAGTGACGCCGATTTCGCGCAGAGTTTCTGACTCAGAAAACCAGCGTGCATCTTGTACGTACCCTACAGCACGATAATAATGGTTTAATTGCGCATCTTTTCTCTAATTTGACCATCGTCGTATCTTCTATGGTTTCGATCTCCATGATAGACATCCTTATTTTGGAGTTTCTAGATTCTTTCCAATTAATTGGTCAATTATTTCCGAAGAGTTGGCCAAATAATGAAAATCCTGCCCCCTCCCTCCCCCCAATTATCTCCTCGGGACGTCACTGCGGTTATCCGACTCCAACTTTTACCCCAAGCGAGAGAATGCCCGCACCATAGTAAATCTTAAATTACTTCTTAAAAATGTGGTAAATTTAATCCCTTTATGGCTTAATTGTATGTTGGGTCGTCCTCGGAGGCACAGGTCGGAATAAATTTTGTGACGTGACTGTATTGTTAAAGTCGCGTCAAACCTCTGCCCTTTTTATAAATAGAATTTGCGGAGATGTTTTTAAAGCAGTTGCAGATGTAGGGTACGTAGGTACGAATTTATATTTTATATCTTGACGATTATTTTCATAAATTAATTAGTAACGTTTGCATCTTTTGCGTGCATTTCTTTGCTTTCATTTTTAAGAAGAGTCCTATTTGTTTGCCTTGAGCATCACATGTTTCGATAACGTAGGCACGCAACAAAAAAAGAACTATCTAATTTGATGCAGTCGTTCTGAAATGATGCGCGTAAATAAATTTCGGCGATTCATTTTCAATATTTGGATAGATAGACAGAAGATTGCGATTTAAACGGCGAAAGAGAAAAATCTTGTTTTTACATCTTTCCGTACAATTTTTTGAAAATTATTTTTTATACAAACCTTGTCCTGATAATGAGAAACACAGCAAAAAAAGAATTATCTAATTTGGTGCAGTCGTTCTGAAGTGATGCGCGTAGATAAATTTCGGCGATTCATATATAATATATATATATATATAATATATATATATTATATTATAAAAGTAAGAAACAAACTTATAAAACAGTTATTTAATATTAACCTCGATAGTAACACTACGTTTAAACGAGAAAATAACTGAAAAAGTTAACACTCGCACTGAACTCATTGATTAGGCCAACCATCCGATCCAATGGACTGTTCCGGAAATACAGCGTTCGCTTGTGCCTAGTTTGCAGTAGGGGCATGGTACGGACGAAACGTGGAACCCTCATGTTAATTTGTGATAAAATATTAGCAGAGTTTAGGTGACCATTCAGTAATTTATACCCGAAAGTCAAAGTAAAAAATGTCCTTCTTTGTTTAAGAGTTTGAATATCGAGGAATATTCCAACATGTTCAGTGGAATCTATATACAATCCCATTTAATGATAGTTTGAACTTCATCATGCGCAAAGATTGAATACGCTGTAGGCTATTGATGTGGGAAACATAATAAGGGACCATATAACGGAACAGTCCAAGTGGGATCTCACAAGCCAGAAGTATAGTGTCCTTAGAGCTGTTATACTACGGAAATCGTTACACTGGCGTTTAAGAAGTCCAAGCATTTTACTTGCCTTCGATGTCACTTGGTCGTAATGGAGGTGAAACTTTAATTTTCTTGTCCAGTATGATGCCTAAGTCTCTGATGGAGTCGACACTATCTAATAACTGACCACCGAGGTAGTAATTCGGCTCAGAAGGACTATTTTTTTGAAAAGCAAATAGTGGAACGTTTATTCACATTAAGCTGCAAGTCGTTGTTTAACATCCAGAGTTCTAATTGCACCAAGTCTTGTTGTAGCATTGCAGTGTCATTGATACCCATTGATACCACCAATGTTATTTTTACCTGGAACACTAGATTACTAGATGCAGAGCTTCTGAATGCTTTCGAAAAATTAATCAAATTAGCTGCATTTAAGCCGCTCGGAAACCGATGTTGCCTAATAATACATAATATTAATATTTGCCTCATTAATATTTTTCTATTGCTCAATTTACTACTTGCTTGCACTGCCACTATGTGGCATCTTGATTTTGGTAGATGCTGACCTCCAGAATGACAACTTGAGTTAATGCAAGCAAGTACCTCATCTGGTTTAACTTTGGAAATTTCGGCCATGTTTGGCACATCATCTCTTGAGAATAGTGCGCCTGCCAGTGGTGTTAACAAGCATAACTTGTGGCTCCATATTCATTGCTATGGGATTACGTTACGGTTGCAAAATAAAGTTACGGAAGCTCAAAATTTTGGTACTTACAAAACGTAGCGGCGAAAATGCACAAGCAAAAAGATCCCCACAAAATCAAGCGTTTACCTTATAAAGAAATCCAGCTGTTTGGGAAATGCTATATGGAAAATCCAGTTCTACGCTGTACTCAATACGAAAGCGATCCAAATTAATTCTGTTTTTAATTAATTATTTATTTCCCCGATATCGGAAAAATATGGGATCGATATCAGACTTCATGTTTTTTAAGCGCACTTCTTTCTACACTACTTTGAATGGCGTCTGGCGGTTTTTCATTAAAACGTTAGTCACTAATTATGCTTACCCGATTAAGCGGATTCAAACTTCAATAGGAGTTAATCCAATTAACGCTGAAATCTCAAAATATTAATTCGACACCTTTCAACAGTTTTCGGAGGCTGCAAGGATAATTTTAATATCTTGCCGAGACTGGTTACTAATCGTGACCCAATTACTGCTTTTGTTGGCGGTAACGACAGGTGAAAAACCATTCTATAAATTAGAAAAATTACCTTAAAGTCTGCACAAAACAAATAAGTTCAGCGGCTTCAATCTACTTTGTAACGAAACCCAAATTTATATCGCTTCCAAATACCCGGCGGCCTTCTACAGAGGGGTCACTAAAATTTGTTACATGTCTCGGCAACAAAACGGATTCTTCGTTACAGCAGCGTATCCCCACAAATACATAAAATACTCTTCATTATCCAAAATTAATTAAACTTGACTCAAAATCCCCCAAAAGTGCAAGTGCAATCACAAGAAAAATCTTACCTGTGGGTTAATGTGCAGCGGAAGAGAGCTCTCCACGTTGTAACTATCACCTAAAACAAATCAAAAGAGAAAACTGTCATGTCACATGCGTGACTCTGTGATTAAATAATAATTACGGGACCACCTATGATCTCTACTTGGAGTTGTTATACCGTGGAACCTGGGACGGTTGTGTTTCAGGTTGGGAAAACCCTCTAAAAGTACTACATAAAATACCAATCTGTGAGGAGCTTTCGCCGGAAGCTCGCGCACCAAAGGTAGCTTTAATTTATCCTTGGCACAAAAACATAAACGGTCTAATTACAAAATAGTTATTTATACAGAGTGAGCAACAAAGATTGAAGCGTGCCGCTTCAGCTAAATTGGCAATGTGCCGCTCATAGCATATGCTGATTTGATACAAGATACGAAATACGAATAGACGCACGTCACTGTGACAGCGCAGAACGTCATTT